GGGAAAGTCTGGCATGAACCAAGAACACAAGCTAGGAAGAGGACACTCTGATGAAGGAATCATACTTTCTGCCCAAAAAGAACCTGGCCTTGTGATCCTCCTCTCCTGTGATTACCCACCCATTCATTCATTTATTTTATTTTTTTGAGACAGGGTCTCCCTCTATCACCCAGGCTGGAGTGCAGCGGCGGATCTCAGCTCACTGCAACTTCCGCCTCCCAGGTTTAAGCAGTTCTCCTTCCTCAGCCTCCTGATTTGCAGGGATTATAGGAACCCTCCACGACGCCTGGCTAATTTTTGTATTTTTAGTAGAAATAGGGTTTCACCATATTGGTCAGGCTGGTTTCGAACTCAAACCAGCCTGGCGGGTGGAACTCAGGTGATCCACCCGCCTCAGCCTCCAGAAGTGTTGGGATCACAGGCGTGAGCCACCGCGCCCAGACTCATTCATTTATTTACTGGTTAAAAATTATTTACTGAGCACCCACCCCCCGCCAGTCGCTGGGTTAGATTTGATCTCTGAGGTCCCTTTTGATTGGAAACATAAAAAATTCTTGAAGTAAAATTTGTCCTTCTCCCATGGTAACTTGGGTCACTTTACCAGACAGCTTAGAGATCGGCAGGTAACAGCCTACCAGGTCAGGAACTACCTAATACACCAGGCAGCAGGAACCAGTCTCAGCCGGCAGCCCTGGGCTGGACTGTTTGGGGGGAAACAGGTGAGTGGTTTATTCCTGAGACTTAGTACAGCGAACCTGAAGAAGGGGTGAGGGATAGAATAGGAGGCTGTTATCCTCAATTCAGGTCACCAGGACCCCTGGTGGATTAAAGGCATGTCTGCGCCCACACTCTGACCTAAGGCAGGGAGTGAGGGCTTGAGTGCAAGATCTTAGCAGAAGGCTCTCACAGTCCTGACATTTTCTGCCTACTGTGCTCAAGAGCAAAGGGAAATTCCGAGGCCGACTGAGGAGAGCTGTACAGAGTGTGTACCTGGCTTACCAAAGGCAGAAAGGGTTAGGATTAGGTTCAAATTCCAGGTCTGCCTCTGCCCACTTGTAACTTTAGTGTGTGCCTTAACCTCTCCAAGCTTTAGTTTTCTCACCTGTAAGTGGGACAAAATCACCCCTGCCTTACAGGACGACGGTGAGCCTGTAAAGGAGGGGAAAGCAGAACAAAGTCCGAGCCCACTGCCTAGCCCGTCACGAGCTGTGTTCCCCTTCTTTCCTGACACACGATCATGTGAGGTGGGGAGCTCGTGGACCTGATACAGCGTCGGTGCCACCCAGCCCCAAACGGGAACTTGGGGCGCGGCGGCGGGCGGGCGGACTTTCACGACCATCCCCTAACCCCCGTCCGGGCCTCACGCCTCGGTTCCCGGGCCGCCTCCACCCTCGCCCCGCACTCCACCAGGCAGCAGAAGGGCCCGTTCAGGCCTCGCGCGCTACCGTACCGGAAAGTGTCTTCGATTTCATTGATTGTTGTATCCTTCTCCACCACCAGGAAATTGGGGTGGCGGTTCTTGTTAAGCTCCCCTATGCCGCCCAGCAGGAAACCAGTCACCGTGTCCTCGTCTCCGATCACTGCGATGAGCTTCCCCCTCCCCGCCATCCCCGCAGCCGGGCAGAGCTCACCCGAGAGCACCAAAAGCCGCCGAAGCCCCGCCTCCGCCGTACGGCTCCCCGTCGGCCCCACCCCCCTTCGGGCACGCGCAGTTCTCCGAGCCGCATTCCGGGACATGCGCATGAACAGCAACACGGCCTCCATGTGAATACGCCTGCGCCATAAAGACAGGCCCGAAGCAGGGGACTACGATTCCCAGAAGGCTGCGCGGCACCACCTCCTTCGCGGGCATTCATTCGTTCATTCACTCTTTCCTTGGTTCATTCGTTCAACAAGCGATTTGAACCTGGCGCTGTTTAGACGCCGAGATCCCAGAGAAGAGACGCAGTTACTGATCTTATCGGCAGGGTCTGGGTCTTTATCGTGTATGTATGTACCTATGACACATATTTAACAAGTAATACGCATTTGTTCAATTAAAGGAATGCAGAAGTTAGTGATGATACTGTCTAGTGAGATGGAAAGTCAAGGGAATAGGCGACTACAGAGCTGTGTGTTAATGGTTAGAATGTGAAAAGTATATGGAAGCACACATCCATGGTAACTAACCCATGGAGAGAGAGGGCATCCAAAGAACCCTTTCCCAAGAAACTTGCTTCAGATCTAAGCTGAGACCTGAAGGACCTGCAGGATGAAGGGGATAGAAGTGAGGACAAGACGGTGTTCTAGGCAGAGGAAGAGCATATGCAAAGGCGTACTGACTAGAGAGCGTAGGGCCTTCAAGGAAAGTTAAAGAATTGGTAAGGCCAGGCACGGTGGCTCATGCCACGCCTACAATCCCAGCACTTTGGGAGTGCTTCACTGATGGGGGAGGATTGCTTGAGCTCAGGAGTTGGAGACCAGCCTGGGCAACACAATGAGACCCTGTCTCTGCAAAAAATTTTAAAAATTAGCCAGGTAGGCCAGGTGCGGTGGCTCACTCCTGTAATCCCAGCACTTTGGGAGGCCAAGGCAGGTGGATCACCTGAGGTCAGGAGTTTGAGACCAACCTGGCCAACATGGCAAAAACCTGTCTCTATTAAAAATACAAAAAATTAGTTGGGCATGGTTGTGGGCGCCTGTAGTCCCAGCTACTCGAGAGGCTGAGGCAGGAAGGCAGGAGAATGGCGTGAACCCGGGAGGCAGAGGTTGCAGTGAGCCGAGATCACACCACTGCACTCCAACCTGGGTGACAGAGCGAGACTCTGTCTCAAAAAAAAAAAAAATTAGCCAGGTGTGGTGGCGCACACTTATAGTTCCAGGTACTCGAGAGGCTGAGGCAGCAGGGCTTGCTCAGGAGTTCAAGGTTACAGTGAGCTATGATCAGGGCACTGCACTTGAGCCTGAGCAGCAGAACGAGACCCTGTCTGGAAAAAAAAAAAAGGGATCTGCAGGCCAGGTACGGTGACTCACGCCTGTAATCCCAGCACTTTGGGAGGCCGAGGCAGATGGATCACCTGAGGTCAGGAGTTTGAGACCAGTCTGGCCAACATGGTGAAATCCTGTCTCCACTAAAAGTACAAAAAACATTAGCCCAATGAGGTGGTGTGTGCCTACAGTCCCAGGTACTTGGGAGGCTGAGGCAGGACAATTGCCTGAACCTGGGCAAGGGAGGTTGTGGTGAGCTGAGATGGCGCCACTGCACTCCAGCCTGGGTGACAGAGCGAGACTCTGTTTAAAAAAAAAAAAGGATCTGGAAGTTATCCTGAGGACAGAGTTATCCTGAAGCCGCTGAGGGTTTTCAAGTAAGAGAGTGCTATCACCAAACTTACGTTTTAGAGCTGTCACTCACTGTGACTGTGCTGTGAACAGAGGCGAAATTGAGGAAGGAAAAACCAGATTGGGAGGCCATTGTGAGAGATAATGGTGGCCAGAACTCAGGTGGTGATAAATGGGAAACACAGAGAAGTAGGTAGAGCCGAGAGATATTTAGATATTTAGGACAAAACTGATTTCAGAGTGGCGTGTTTGGGGAGTGAGGTAAAAGAGAGACCTGGCTGACTTCCAGGTTTCTGGCCTGTACAGCACATGAACGGGAGTAACACTCCCGGGAAAGTGACCTCTGTGAGATGAGCAGGCTGAAGGGGAAGGGGCCGCTCTTTCCTCCTCCCTTTTAATAAACCAGCACTCCTGGTGTCTGGCATGGGGTTTGTGAGTTTGGAGTGCTTGTGAGTTTGGAGTGCAAGTGGTCTGGTCTGGCAATTGTATGTGTGATAAGCTTGGGATTTGGGCACGCCTGGGTTTCAATCTGTACCCCACTACTTAGAGGTATGGTTTCAGACTCATCACTGAAATTCCCAGGGCCTTGGTTTCTTCAGATGGTAGTAGCCCCACCTCATAGGGCTGTTATGAGGATTAATGAGGGAGGGCCTTTAAGGCTTAGCACCCAGGGCCACACTGTGGCTGGCTGGAAGTGGGCAGGCTGGAGGTCTGTGAGCTTATCAGCCACACACAGGTGGAGGCAGCCGAAGCTGAGGGGGAAATTAGCACATCTAGGGGTGAGAGTGAGGGGGGCAGAGAGTGAGGAGGGGTGTGTGGGAAGAGGGAGGAAGCACAGAGGCTGGTGAGAGGTGAGAGAGGTGGGGAGGTCAGGGATTAGGAGTTGGGGCCTCGTGGGTTTTTCTGCCAGGCCCACCACCGTGTGCTGAAATGCCCAGGTGGGTCTAGATTGTGGCATCAGGTGAATGAAAGGCGTTTTCCCTGCTCCAGCTACTCAGCTGCTCATTTATTCACTCATACCCATTCACTCACTCATTCACACCCAGGGCCAGGGAGCTCCATCTGGTAGGGGGCCGTGGATACATGGCCACAGCTCAGGGTGGTAACTGCAGCTAGAGATGTGTCCCAGGGCAGTTTGGGAGCTGGGGGCACTGATCCAGGAGGGGTAGGGAGGGGTCCAGAAAACTTCCTGTTGGCCAGGAAGATGAAGAGGGTGGGGAGGCAAGGGTGTTTCCGGGAAGGGGCCCAAATTCAGCATGGGTGCCCAGTTAACTAGAGGTGGTGAAGGGAGGTTGGAGGTGGAGGGTACAATGGGGAGTGGGCTTGCTGCCCAACTCATACGGCTGGGGAGGCTGCTGTCTGAACCTGGGGGGCCTTGGAGACCTTGTCAGGAAGAAACTTTACTCTGGAGCAGGAGGGAGTCACGGAGGGCCCTAAACCAGAGAGGGGTATACTCTCTTTAAAGTGACCCCCCTCAAGCTGCAGCATGGAGAGGAGGTTGGAGGGAGCTGACCAGGGCAGGGCTGGGGCAGGAGTTCAGGAGGGAAGCCCTGTGCAAGCTCAGTGCTGGAAACGGGCATGAAACAGGCCAAGTTGATTCAGTACCAGACTCGGGGGAAGGTGCTGAGTCTGCAGGTGGTTCTGTCTGCCTGCTGGTTGAGGAATATTGCTGTTTGAGTCAGTGCTCACTGTTTTAAAGTCTTAATTTGAAAAACATCCTTGAGGTCAGGCTGAACTGAAATTGGCCTCCCAGGGGTCCTGGGGCAGTACTGTAGAACACAGTATCCACACCCTGTACTGTCCACGAACCCTCCCGCTGGGACCCCTTCCCACATCCCCGAGCCTCCGCCCCCAGTTCTTTCAGGCACTCTGCCAACATCCCAGACCTCACTTCTGCCCCAGGACCTTCCCCTCGACCTGGGTCAATCTTCCAGGGGACAGCCAGGCTGCCTCTGCCTCCCCAGGGCCCAGTTTCTCGTGTGGCAGGCCAGAGGGCAGCCAGCCACAGAGAGCACACTCGCAAGGAACAGCCAAGCCTCTGCGACAGCCGCACTTTATTTGGAGTTTTCCACCTAAGCAGCTCCCAGCTGAGCTGCATGACATGTGCAAAAGTCCCCTAGAAAGCTGGGCCTCGCAGTGTGTAAAAAAGGCCCCCCATGGGGCAGAGCCGTGCAACCATTTTAAAAAAAGAGACAGTGAGAGAGAAATCCGGCCCCCTGGGAGGCTGGCTTGGGCGGAGTGCACATCGCTCGGGCCGGTCCATGTGCCAGGCCACTCCTGCTGATTCAGGGGCTGTTTTCTTCTCTGATTGTGCTTTCCTTTCCAAGTCCTTAAAAGTCTGGGGTTGAAGCTACCAGAGGGACCAGACCAAGTCCTCAGGGACAGGGGGGTGGCTGGCCGGCGGTGCAGATTGAGGGTGACCTCACACACAGACACCCACAACACAATGCCCTCCCACTGCTCAGCCCTGCCAGAAAACTCAGGGCTTCCCTGGCCTCGAAGCCCACTTGTCAGCCCCTCATGTCCCAGCCTCTGCCCCTGAGCCTGGCCCCAGTCTGTGAGTTAGCATGTCACATTCCCAGGGAGGGACACTGTCCTAACACAGACAAGGTCCTCCAACCCCCGGGGCGCAGTGGGGTGAGGAGGCTGTGCCTTCACTTCACCCCCAAGGCAGGTGTTTGTAGTGTGTGATTCTGTGCGTGTGTCTGGGTGTGGCACGTGTGTGTGTGTGTGTGTGTGTAATGTGTGTTTGGCTGGAGGTGGGGGCTGAGGCTGGGGAGGCACTTTTGGCATTCAAGGGACCTTGACTTTGAAGGGGCTTCCAGGGACACTTTCATCACCCCACTTGACGATGAGGATGTAGTCCCCTTTCTCCTTGACGGTGTAGGTGACATTGTACACCCGATTCCCCATGTGCTTCACGTACACCTCCTCACAGGGGGTCTTGGGGCCGTGCACGCCCACCATCATCATGTTGGTGCCTGGAGAGGGAGGCAGAGGGTGGGCTCACACCAGGGAGTCCCCTACTGTGACCCACACCCTGCTCCCTGATGGCCTCTTGCTCGCACCCCGGGAGACACCCTCCCCCCGCCACCTGCCTGCTTTGCTGCAGTCCACGGTGAAGGAGTTCTTCTGGCCCACGAAGGCCTGGGACAGCCCAGGGCCCCGAGTCACCACCTTGCTGGCATCCGAGGAGAACTTGGGGATGGAGCTGTAGCTGGAGCCCCGGCTTGAGGAAGACTTGGTCACAGTCTCCACCAGAACGGTGGATGTTTCGTGAAGGCTGTGGCCTCCGGACAGCCTCGGACCTGAGGGGTGGGTGGAGGGGGCACAAACCTGGTCAGAAGGGCTTCCTGTTCTTCCCCAGGCAGGGGACCCTCGGCCAGCACTGCCACCCTGTGGGACTCACTGCCTGCATTCGTGGCTCCCCTCAAATTCCTCCAAGGGCCACTCTAGGAGCACAGCCCCATTCCCAGCCAGGGCCCTGAGCTGCCAGCTCCAACTGGTGCTCCACCCCAGGGCTGGGGCCTCAGATGCTGTGACCCTCACCCTTGCAGGCTTTGGGAGTTCAGGCTAACTCACAGGGTTAGAGTCACTTTACAAAGGAACACCCACCCAACGCATCCTACAGACAGCCTCAAGAGGGGAGCTTGCTCAATACTGACTGTGTCTTCTTGGAGCCGAGGAATATGGGAAGCCAGGAGGGAAGAAAGTGATGCTAGAGCCTGAGG